TGGTGTATCTGAGACAGGAAAGGCACCTTTCTTTGGAAACAAGTTTCAAAGTCTAAATTTGAGTCTTCCTGGCGAAGGTGGGGCCTGGCTCCTCCATGTGGGGGTCGCAGAATGCTGTAGAGTCGTGGGGGGGCATCATCCTGGAAGCTTACAAAGCAGAGCTCAGGAGGAGCCTCAGAGAGGGCCGCTCATTCACCTTGAGGCCCTGGGTCCCAGCAGACGGACACCTGCCATCTTGACAGGCACTCTGACCTGGCACAGAGGCCTCCTCCTTGCTCCAGCCTCCTCTCTCCCTGTCATTTCTTGGAGTCCAGTTCTGGACTCCCTCATTCCCCCCTTTCTCCTCTGCCTTCTCAGCTCCCGTGACCTCCACCCACCAGGTCTGTCTTCTCCTCCCCAGTCCCTGCCCTGCCCTTCCCTACAGACCAGTGGCCGGCCAGACACTGGCCCCACTCCCCTGATCCCATGGACCCTGAGAGAAGACCTCCGGTGCTCACTTAGGACTTTAGAGGTTCTTTCCTGACCCCCCCACCCCAACACCCCTACCTGCCATGCCTTCCCTCACCCTGCAGGCCTGCCTTTACTGGTCTCTCCTCTCTGGTCTTTGGGCAGCTTCCCAGCTCTGGCCCTTTAAGACTGCAGTCAATGGGACACCCCCCCCCCAAAGCAGGGGCTGGGGTGGGGGGGAGGCAGGCCCAGCTGTGAGCTAGGGGGGTTCTAGCACCTCATGCCGGTGGAGGGTGGCCTCTGCCCCCTGAAGGCTGGACTGTAGCTCGGGGAGCAGTGACCTGCTGGGTCTCTCAGGCAGCACAGCCCCCGTCGCCCACCCGGCCTCGGTCAGCCAGAGCTGGTCCCCAGGCAGGGGCATAGGGAGAGTCAGAAGCAGCCGGGGGTCTCCGCATTGGCCCCCTTCAAGAGGGTCAATTGGGGAGCAGTAACTAGCAGTGGGAGCCCCCCCCTCAGGCCGGCCACCCCACTCTGGTGCTTTTCATGTTGGTGCGTCTTGCCCTGTGACTTGAACCCCCTGCCCTTCTGGATGGCCTGGGAAAGGGCCTTGGGTGGTCAACAGAAACTCAGTGATGACTCCCTTCCGGGAGGCACCTGCCACTTCTGCCATTCCCAGAGGATGGAGCCCTGGTGGCGTCGTGGTTGCGGTTGGGCTGCTCACCACAAGCCAGCAGTTCAAACCCACCAGCCACTCCCCAGGAGAAAGATGAGGCTTACAGTCTCAGGAGCTAGTTCTACCTTGTCCTGCAGGGTCGCGGAGTTGGCATCGGCTTGATGGCAGTTGAGTGTGGTTGGATGTGGTTTTGCCAGGGGGACCAAGGCCACCCCTTCCTCGGTTCAGAACCACCTTCCTGACGGGCTGC